CCTAACCCAGCCGGTGCTGAGATCCGGGCAGAGCCCGCAGCTCACCTCGTTGTTGTGCAGTGTGAGGCAAAGCTTGCATTCGTAAGAGCCCAGGTGGTTTTTCATGAAATAAGGGTCCTAAGGAAGAGAACGATTAAAAAGTTACACAGGAAAGACATGGTGACTAAGCAAAATACCGCTGAGCTTCCACTGTGCTGCAAGAACTGAGTTTGGGGGGTTGAATAAACAGCCCAACACTGCTTTAGGACGATGAAAATGGAGAGAAAGCAGGGCAGCTTTATTAATTAGTGACAGCAGACCCAACTGCAGACAAGGAACAGCAAAATACAACCTGGGCTCGAGAAGCCTGAAGATAACGGCGTGATATTGAATACACACCTGCTGGCTCCTCTCTGGTCAGCTCTCCCCAAACGGCTCCTCTCCAACTCCCACATTACCAGAAACATTTCGTTCCAACCCACAAGCCCTCCCACCAAATCTCTCGCCCTTTACGCTGTTTCTCTCGGGCAAAGCTCTAAACTCCTCCCCAGAGCCCCACGGTTGCCCTTCCCCGTGCGGGCAGAGGCCTCGGCTCACCTTGTTGATGTCGATGGTTTCCAAGGCGAGCTGCCGGAGCCTTTCCCTGCGGTCTCGGTTACTTTCGGAGGCCGAGGCGACGCCTCCGCTCCCGGTTTTACCTCCAGGACGATGCTGGAAATCCATGATGGAGGCTTCTGTGCTTCAGCTACTTCTGGAGAAAGACTCTGGAGAAACAAGGAAAAGCCCCGTGAGCAATAACTAACGCGTCTCCCAGCCTGGAGCTCGTGGTGCTGTTTTGACCCATCGGTAAGGGCTTGGGATGAGCCCAGCAAAGCGGGGCTGGGACACTTGTCCCCACGATGTGATTTCCAGCCCCAAGCTCTCGGTGAGAGCCAGAGGCCCCTCCACACACCCCCCAACAAAGATTCCTTCTTCACAGGAAGGCCACAGAGACCCCTGGACCCTCGGCAGGAGCATAAGTCCCCCTCAAATGCCCCCCAGGCAGGGTCAATCCCTCACAAACGCCCCCCAGGCCCCCAGCAAGGCTCAAAGTCCCCC